AGACTAGAAGCCTGTGTTAGAAATAATGATGTCTTCATCTTCTGTGGAATCCAAAATTTGGCAATACTTTCTGATAATAAATAGAGGGAAAATCCAGGCAGTAGTGGCACATGCCTTTAATCCCAGTACTTGAGAGGTAGAGGCAGGTGGATTTCTGTGAGTTTGAGGGCAGCTTGGTCTACAAAAGCTAGTTCCAGGGCACCAAGTGAGCTGTGAGGTGATGGGTTCTTCCTTTACTGTAAGTACAGGGCATGTGTGCAGTTCCCATGGTCTGTAGCCTGCAGATGGCTGTTTTCTTTATTTTAGAGTTCAAGCTCTGTAAAGATTTTAGATTTTTAAACTGTATTTCTCAGTACGTTATATATTTGCTTCTGGTCTGCTCATTTAATATTTTTTCTTTTTTTTTTTTTTTTTGAGTCTGGTTAAATGCTATTGTAAAGAATATGTTCCAGTAGACATTTTGAAACAGTTATGTGAATCCGACTGAAGTCAGTGAACGGCGCCTATACTTTCTATACAGCATAACAGGAGAGTATAGGAATGCAGCTCTTTACTAGCAATAGTGTTACTTTCCAGTCTGGGAAAGTCTAATAGTATTTAATTTGGAATAATCAACCAACTATAATATATTTGTTGGCAAGTAGATGGTAAGAGTGAAAACATTCTTTAGAGAAATGTCATGATTTGCAATCACCATGGCCCCCGTTAAAATAATTATCCTTGAACTATGCTTTCTAGTAGATTTCTCGTAGTTTGGCTTGAACAGCCAAGCTGTATTCATTCTGTGTATTTACTTTTAGCTCTTCCTCCTGCTTCAGGCAATGATTTGCTGTCTTCGGGCCAACCTTTGAGTTGAAAGATGTGTTCCTACAGCCATTGCCTCAGAGACAGCATTTTCTGGTCTTTAGCAGACAACATTGCTCTAGGCTAATAAAAAAGTGTGTGTCCTGTACTGGCAAATAAAGTCGGCAATTTTAACTTTTCTCATTGAATTGACTACACCACGTATTACTGTTTCACTTTCACCATTTCTTTTTGCCTGTTTGTGTATTTAAATTTATTATTTCCAACTTTATCAAAAAGCTTAGAGAATTTACCATACCACTTCTGTTATAAAAAATGAGTTCAAATTGATCTTTACTATACCACAAACCTTCACCAACTGGTGGAATTTGTACATACTCAGTAGAGTTAAACTTGTAAGAAAATCTAGTGCTAAGTGAAGTCATTTTTCTTAGCTTCAAAAATAGCTTCTTTGAGTTATTAAGTAAGAAAAACATCTGTTTTATATGAATTAAACATTTGTTAACTTACAAAGAAAAGTCTCAGCTTTGTGTCAAGCATATTCACTAAGTTTTTATGCAAGTTTTCTTAGACATGTCAGTTTTTAACAGTTGTATCATTAGCTTTTCTTACTTTTGACCATAATTATATGAAATATTAAGTTTGTAAAGAAAGTTATAAAAAGTAATTTAGCTCATTATTAAGTATATGGTTTTTTATATATTAAAGGCCTCTATAATTCCACTGATTTTTTTTTTATTAAACTTTACTGGAACATAATTACCAGAATATCAATTTAAGTTCATCATATAAATTTTGGTCTTGTCTTTTGAAACTTGAGGTCCTTGAATCCTTAATGATAGTCATAATTTCAAAAATACTTCTCACTGTTAAAAAATAAAAAAATAGTATATTTACCTCTACACAACACTAAAATAAAAACAAAAATAAAAGTCAATTTGGCTAGTTTTTCCTAAGAGTAAAGTAGGTCGCCAGGTCAGCACGTCCTGATTTTGTACTGGCTTGCTTGATGAGCTGCCCACATCTAAAAGCCTCTTCTTTCATTTCAGGGCATAATGTTTCCATCAACATAGAGGTAGACCCCAGGCACCCTACCATGCTTCCTGAGTTCTGCTTTCTTGGAGCTGACCATGGTATGAGATCTTAAAGTTAAGGATCTGGAACAGATTCATAAAATCCTGCCTAACATTAAATATTCAAAAAATATTAATATTACCATTGTTCTATAGATTTCTCATTCTGAATTATGTACTTTAGTTAATAGATAATTTACATTTTAAGCCAACTAGCAAAACAAATACTGTAGCAGTTATGTCTTTGCAAAAGAAGATCAACCAAGCCTAAATTATTAAAACTTTTCCCCTCTTTTTAATATTCACAGTGATAAAACCCTTGGGAATCAAGATGAGTGGGAACATACATTTATGGTAGGTACCTTGGCACTGTAATTGGTACTGTTCTGTGCCTTAACAAACTTTATAGGGAATTTTTTTTTCTCTGCATTTTCTTTTTCAGGGATCCAGAAAATAGTCTCTTACAAAATTTGAAAGATGTTTTAGAAATTGACTTTCCAGCTCGTACTGTCTTGGAAGGATCTGTAAGTTTAATTATTGTTTTAATAGACTACATTTTGTGAATAATAAAATTTAAATGCTTCTCTTAAAAAATTTGCAGGAATTTTGTAACACAGACCTCAGTTACAAGAAAATATTTCTATCAATGAACTTGTTAGCCTCCGATAGATGGGAACATTGGCATCACTGAACTTGTTAACCTCCGCTAGGTGGGAACATTGGCATCACTTAACTTGTTAGCCTCCGCTAGGTAGTAACATTGGCATCACTGAATTTGTTAGCCTTCGCTAGGTAAGTTACATGGGCTTTGTTCATGGTCTTCAGCAGCAGGTGCCTAATGACAGCTACACGTATGAAAAGTACAGAGGAAGGAACACTAATGGGATTTTTGATATTTTTTGTACTGTCGGCTTATGGATAGCTTACAGTACAGTTTTAAGCTTGCCGTAAGTTTGTGGAGAGCAGCAGTGGTTTTCAATGGCGAGCAGCTCCATTGGTACTGTAAAGATAATGAAGGCAGGGCTGACTTTGGACTGAGCCACTGCGATCAACCCTAAATGATGGCGATGGTTTTCTTTTCCCTCTGTTGTAGAATTGTGCAATTTTGTGTTCACTAGCTGATGTCAGATCTGTCTTTGTGTATACACAGACATGATTATGTATATGGAAAAACTGCTAACATGCAAACATTTTGCCAGCCAAAGATGAAATCTGTGTGTATTTGAGTGCACAAGGGAAGCACTAAGCAAATGACTAGGTGGTATAACCTGCCTGTATGTTCCACAATACAGAAACATGGTTTGTAAAACAGATATAAAAACAAATATTAAGTAGTGCTATTCTTTCTTCCTAATCTACCACATGCTCATTAAACAGACGTGCTAACAAAAACTTCTCTTTTGAAGGACTTTAGTATGGACTGTGGAATCTGTTATGCCCATCACCTTAATGGTGCCATTCCTGATCAAGTATGTGATAATCCCCAGTGTGGACAGCCTTTCCATCAAATGTGCTTGTATGAGGTAAAGCTGGCAGCCATGTACATATGAAATAGAGTCTAAAGTCTGTTTACTAAAGGTATTTTCCTCCTTTGCCACAACCCCCTACTACTAGTTAATTTTAGATGCTCATGGGCTTTATTTCTTCATCTTGGATTCTATTGAGTGTGCCAGAGAATCCCAGGGAGAAAACCAGTAACACACTCGCGAATAGCAATATTAACCCATAATAAACTGGTGGTAGGTATAACCAAAATCTTCCTAGTCTTCCACCACTATGCAAATTCTCTAAATCTGCCAGATGAGGGCGATGAGACGGGAATGGAGTGAGGAAGTTCGGAAGTAGTGCATACTCCTTTACAGACTGCATATAAGTATAGACTAAATACAGCAATTCTCCTTTGAAAACCCAAAGGTTTCTGTGAGCTGAGCATCTCTCAGCTTTTTATTATCTTTCCTACATGACTTATGGTAGCCTTCATCTCCCAGTCATTTCATTCCTGTAGGACACAGCTCATATGATTAACTGTCTGCATCCATAGCACCTTACAGGGGAAATGCCATTAGCTTTCAGTCTCTCCCTTTTGACATAGGTTTAGTATGTAGTTGGTGCCGTTTGCCCTTTCTTAATGGGAAACTTAGGAACAGTCATTTTACCTCAGACAATCAAGAAATACCAGGTCTACTTGGGAAATTCTAGTGGAATCTGTACTTTCCTATTTTTCAAAACTGTTGCCTTATACTTGTAATCAGTGCAGTGAAAATTAACCCATTGTTGAGCTAAGATGAGAATCTCGAAACCCTAAGATATATTTTATAAAGTAATTGTTGATAGGTCATTAATTGGCTTAGGTATGTGAACCCCAGGAACTTGCATGAGTCTCTGTGTGTCTATTTTGCATTTAAAGTGCGTAATCGTCAGCCAAGTCTTAAAGGGCACATAATTTGCTTATACTAGGAATTTACATACCAAGTTTTAATGCTGATTTCCCAGTTATTCAATGTAATAATAATTGGGCATGGGCTCAGACGAGGTTTCCCTTTCATAAACAAAACAAGGCAGAGTCAGTCTGGGGCGGCCGGCATGTGTGCACTGATGCTGTCCAACACACTCTTTCATGCAGTGGCTGAGGGGGCTGAGCACCAGCAGACAGAGCTTCAATGTCCTCTTTGGTGACTGTCCCTATTGTAGTAAGGTAAGCCAACTGTCCGTCACATTTCATGGAGTGTCTGGCTCTGGGGAATGGGGTACAGAAGTTTGATATGCAGTATATTAGGTTGTATAACAGCTTTGAAAATGTGATGTTCTGCATTTGATGAAACTGATCATTTCCTGTGAGATGAATTATCCTGGATATATATTAATTTTCAAATTATCTTTGATCAAAAAGATTTGTCTTCTGAATTTCTTGGTGGCCTTAAGTATTTCAAAAGTATACGGTGAAATATTGTCTAATAGAAAGTCAATAGTAAATTAAAATGCTATTTTACTTCTTAAGAGTATGCCCAAAGTTAAAATCTCTCTCTCTCTCTCTCTCTCTCTCAGCCAATTACCTTGAAAATGTCTGTGAGAAAACCCTGAAGGAAGAATGAGACACCTGTGAAGAGATGGAATCCTGAAAAATTGTTTTATAAAGAAAACAAACCAATTTATTTGATGACTTCAGAGAAAATACAAAGCAAGACAAACTAATATGAGCAGGCAGACTATAGTGAGTCCATAGTAATACACTTCTGCCTTCGTCTCCTCACTGAGAGACAGCTGGGAAACTGCCCTACCAGCGGGGCAGGTATATCTGAACTGAGGAGACCGTGGCTTCCTGATGGACTCTCTACTGGTGCAATCCAGATAGGGCTTCCAGTATGAAGGTTGGAAATCCAGGTAGCTGGGTGTCTGTTGGAAACTGTGAATTTCACTCCGAAGATCTGAATACTCATATATATTTCTTCTCCTTGAGTTTTCCTACGAAATAAGTATATTTTAGATTTGTATTATCCAGGCATTTATTGTGTATTCTTTAACAATGCTAATAAAATAACTCAGCAAGCAAGTCTGTCATTAATATAACTTTTGAAGCTGGTCAGTGGTAGTGCACGCCTTTAATCCCAGCACTCAGGAGACAGAGGCAGGCAGATCTCTGTGAGTTTAAGGCCAGCCTGGTCTACAGAGAGAATTCCAGGACAGGCTCCAAAGCTACAGAGAAACCCTGTCAAGAAAAACAAACAAACAAAACCATTTTGACATTTGGCACATCAGGAGAGCAGAGAGTGCCTTTGTAAGGCCGTGCGGGCTCTGCAGCTCTCCAGCAGGCCAGTTTTGTTTTGCCTACTCCTCTTGAATCAGGAACAGTAGAACTACTGGTGATTGCTCACTACTTAACCAAGGTCATTCTATTTCCACTTTAGCTTGGTGACCTCTGACACGCCCTCTCCTACTACCAGTTACTGAAACTCAGAAAAAGACAGCCTTGTTTTAAAGAAAGCAAGACACCCGGCTATCTTGGCCATGTGAGCTCCATCCAGCACACTGCATCCTCAGAACTGCTACTCTTCAAGCCGCTTTTCTCCCCCCTCTCCCCACACAGTCACTTTGAAAGGTCAGAAAGGGTTCCTATATGAGATATGGGTAGGCCAAGCACACTGGTCCACACTTATAACCCCAGAACTTGAGAAGATGTCTGAGTTTGAGGCCAGCCTCTACACATTAAATTTTAGGTCAGTCAGGGTTCTACATTGAGATCCTGTCTCACACAATGCCATAAACCAAGCAAAAAACAAATCCAAACAGAAGATACATTGAGGAGAGATGTTTTCTTCTTAAATAGAAGTCTATTCTTATTTGAGATTCATATGAGAATAGCATTTTACTGACAATTTCAGTCACTAAAAGAAAATAAGTGACTTTCTTTTCTCCAGGATTGGTGTAGAAGTGTCTTCTTTCTATGTGTTGCTTTCATTGGTTGAATAAAGAGACTGCCTTGGCCTTTTGATAGGGCAGAAAATTAGGTAGGTGGAGTAGACAGAACAGGATGCTGGGAAGGAGGCAGGCAGGGATAGCCGCCAGCCATGAAGCTGCCAGGTCAGATATGCTGAATCTTTCCCAGTAAGCCATGAGCACGTGGTGACATACACATTATTAGAAATGGGTTAATTAAGATGTGAGAGTTAGCCAATATGAGGCTAGAAATAATGGGCCAGGCAGTGTTTAAATGAACGTAGTTTCCGTGTAATTATTTCGGGGTTAAGCTAGCCAGCCAGCAGGAAGTGGCCCACGCTCCTGGTTATTTCGGGGGTTAAGCTAGCTGGGCAGTGGGACGTGGCCCATTCCTTCTTACTACACAGGATGCCAAATCATTTTCACAAGGGGAAGAAACATACTACCAAATACATTCCCAAGGGCCACGAACCATTGGGAAGTTGATTATATACCAATCAAGAACAGAAATCATAATACTAAAATTTAAGAGGGACCTCCTGTGCCTTTTACAGCAATTCAGTAACAGCTAATGGTATCGCATAGGAAGGTAGTACACTGGTTGGGAAGGCAGGCTGGGATACAAGCTTACAAATTTTCTTCATTAAAATCTTGCATGTTTTGTTAGTAGTTTTATTGGGACACAGCCTCGTCCATTTGTCTATGTTTCATTTATGGATGCTTTTGCACTGAAGTAGCACAGTTGAATAGCTCTGGCAAAAACTATGCATTGTAAAACCAAAAACATTTTCAATCTAGACACTCAAGAAGAATTTTGCTGGGCTCGAGTGTAACTCCATGGTAAAGAGTTTGCTTAAGTCCATGTGAGGTCCTGAATTGACCCTTTTGCACTGAGGAGGTGTTTGCTGGTCTCTGCATAGGAAATTGGTTTTCATGCATGAGAAGGCCGTTCAGTCACTTCCTCTCCCCTGAGAAATACCCTAACAAAACCACTTAAAGAGAAGGCTTATTTTGGCTCAAAGATCCAGAGGAAAGGGCCTTGCATGGAGGCAGGCGAAGAGTGAACAGAAGGACTGGTGAGCTGTAAACTGTCAGTCTTCCCCAGTAACTCACGTTCCCCAGCATGACTCCATCTCCTCCAGAATCCACAAGCTTCTTAAACTACCGCCAACTGGGAGCCAAGTATTCCCACATGAAAGGTTAGAGGAGACACCTCCCATCAGACCTCAACAGAAGACAGACAGATGATCGTGTTAAAATATAGCTCTCTCTCAGAATTGGGGTATATGTGTGGCTGCAACTCCGTGTTACCTCAAAACTGGGTAATTTTGGCACAGTTTGTTATATATGTAGCAAAGGCTTAAAGCAACACAGTAATCTATCGGTAGGATACTGGCTCTCAACCTAGACTGATGGTAACACACAGAAAAGAACAATTTCTAGAAATATTTGGGCTGCTACAACTGGGCGAGAGTACTCTGTGCATCTAGTGGATACATATAGAAATGCTGAGCATTCTACAACATGCAGGGTCATCATCCTACAGCAGTTAGCCCAGCCCTAAATGCCAACAGTATTGCTTCCAGAAGGCCATCTTCCGAGCAGTTATTCACCTTAAATGTACATTACAGTCAGCTGGGGAGCTGTGAAAATCCCAGTGCTACTTCTAGTCAGGCCATGCATTATGGGCATCAACAACTTCTTGCTATTAAGCTGAAGAAATGGACACAAAACAATAAAATTAGACAAAAGTCTACAGAGACACTTTAAAAATATCTCAAACTAGCAAGGAATACATGAGGAAAGAAAATAACCTAGACTTCAGAAAGTCTGCAATTTAAGATTATGAAGACCACAGCAGAAGAAAAATTATAAGTAGAAGTCCTGCTGTGATCAAGTTAAGTGAATAAATCCATTTCCAGGGAGCAGAAGAGATGGTTTGGTGGTTAAGAGCATGTACTGCTTTTGCAGAGGGCTCCCAGCACCCACAGCCACCTGTAATTCCAGCTTCAGGAGATCCCATGGCCTCTGTAGGCACCTGTACTAATGTGCACTTGCAGAAACATGCACATGCAGAAACAAACACACATGCAGAAACATGCACATGGGAACATAGTATTTTAATGAAGAAAAATTATCCACTGTGAGAACAGACTCCAAATACTTTAGAGGACTTAGAGGAAAAGTTAAACCTCATTAGAAAGAATCTTAGCAGAGATATGAAAATATAATCTAATTCTGCTGAAAAATACAACATGGAAAATTCAAACAATTACTCACTAGACTCAGTTGCTAACTAGAAACTGATGACTTGATAGTTACCCTGCCGTTGAGACAAAGAAATGACCTAAAAAATGGTGCCTCAGCTGCCCATATATCTATGCCAAGAAATCTTACATGCATGTGCTTGGAGCAGGAGGAAGAAGGAGGGAAACAACATGGATGAAAACTTTTCTAATTTAATGACAAAGTGAAGTCAGAGATAAAAGAAGCTCAACAAATTCCATGATCAATAGCATAAAGGTGACCATCCCTAGACTGCAGCAGGACAGATGCCCTCAGAGCATCTCAGGGACAGCGACAGCATCATTCACTACAGGCTCAGACATGACAAACCATGGGTTTGAGTAAAGCTTTAAAGAAACCCCGGGGGTGGCCCACCTGCCAATGATGGCTTTAGGTTTCACGCTTCTAGGATTCATGCCACCCAGCAGGTGATTTGATTGTATTGAAATATGTAGCCCAGGCTGGCCCAACTCATGGCCACTATCCTGTGCCAGGACCCTGGGCTCCGGGATTATAAGAGTGAGCCACCACCGCCCAGTCCGTTGTATTTCCACCAGTGTTTTAGTTTTTTAGCACACACCAGAACTGATTGTTGAATTGCTTATAACATCCCAGGCTTTCTCTAACACAGGGCTTCATAAATTTTTCATCTGTTGACCCTTTTTTATGTGAACCAATTTTATGTGACTCCAGGTACACAAAAATCGGTATACAAGTGAGATGAGTACTTACCATAATTACATAATTTAAAATCATTTGTATACATAATTATACTACTTATTAATGCTGAAATCAGTTTATAAAACACTGTAATAGCAGTACTTGTTCTTTCTCACAAAAAGATATTAAACATAGATAAATAATCATCGAGCTGATTTTTGACAAAGCTCGGGTTGTAGAACACTTGAGCGGCAGTGTTTCCTTAGAGAGCTGTTGGATTTACTAACCACTCGCTAGAGTTCCTGTCTTTATACACTGCAAGACCATCATGACTAAAGCATATAGGAAAACTAGTACTTAACGATAAAAGTGAAATGTTTAAATAATTTTAAAGGAAAGCTATAGCATACATATATGAAGAAGTAGAAAGTTTTGTTGGGACAACACAAATGGAGGGAAGTACCAAGTTGATGCACTGTGAGACTGTGGTGGGCTGCCTGTCCTTCTTAAACTCCCACCAAAATCTCATTGTCCTGCTTATGAGTAAGTTAACAAGATAGTCCTTAAACTTTGACAGAGATGGGGCGGTGAGGGAGCCGAGAAAGGATGAACTGGGAGGGATAGTTAGCACTAATGGTCTTTTGAGGGATCATATGGAAACCTACTGCAGTGGAAGATTCTTAAAATAGATATGTATGTGTATTATGAAAGCACTCTAAATTGGAATCATCAAATAACAGGGGAAACAAAGCCCCAACTATACATCTCTCACCACCAAATGAAGCCTCCAGTACCAGGAGTGGGTGCCATCTAAATGAGCTGTTGGCCAAAGAAGCCCCCAGATAACCTCCAAACAACTCAGACTATTGCCAAATCTACATGTTGATCTCCATGAACTGAAGGGAAGGCCCTATTGCTGACAACAACACCCACATACCTCTCTGAACACAAAGAAGTCAAGCTGGTGCCTGACTAGAGCCTTCACCCAACTGACTAGTGTTCACGGTACTGGATGGCACTCTGTACACTACCAGAAAGGGAAACACCAACCCAGCTACAATGGTGAGGTTCCCAAAGGTGACCTGCTTGCATGATACACTGGTGCAATTGTGGCACAAAATCTGTGGGAGTCACCAACCACTCTGACCAGATTGAAGTCATACTCCATGAGATGGAAACCATGCCTTACACTGAGTAGGTGGCCAAGAACCCAAGACAAGAAAACCAAAGACTATTCTGCTAAAAGAACTTAGCAGTAAAATGACTCCTAATTACTTGCTCCACCATCAATAGAGAAGCTTCCTCCTGTAGTCAGTGAGAGCTAATACAGAGACCCACAACTGGGCAATAGCAGGGTGAGAGACCTAGGAACACTCTGTTGTAAGTGGGATGTCTTCATCGAGTCCCTCTCCTCAGGGCTCAGGGAGCAATGTGGAAGAGGGAGGCAGAAAGGTTGTATGAGCCAGTGGGGATGGAGGGTACCAAGGAAACAACAGGACTGATAAACATATGAACTCACAGAGACTGTAGCAGCATGCACAAGATCAAACCAGATGGATTGCCAGCACTGGGAGGGTAAGTGGATATGAGCACCTCTCTAACTCAGAAGTGATAGCCAATTGATAACAACTTGCAAAGGAAAAATAAGTTTTCCCCATGGAGTCTTACTGGGCATACAAACTACACTTAAGGCAGCTCTAAGTCCAGCAGAAGATGGCCAACAAAAAATAAACACAATGGTATTTTAGAGATGTTTTGTATCATGTTTTGTTTGGGGCATTGGGTTTGTTTGTTTTGTTGTGTTTTTCCTTGTGAGTCTTTTGCTTTTATATTATGGCTTCTGATTTTGTGTTTTTATGGATTTTGTGTGCGTACCTGCGTTTTGTGTCTCCATATTGGAAGACCCCAACCCTAGTCTCCATCTAAAGATGTTTTGATCAACTACGCCAGGGCAAAACAGGATATCTGTGGGCGGCAGAAGCAGCCTTGAGACTGGCTGCACCTGCCAAGGGGGTTAAAAACAGGTTATCTGTGGGCAACAGAAGCAGTCTTGAGAAAAACACCTAGTCCTTTGTGTATCGAAACCCAAGGGGGCAGAAACTGGCTGAAACTAGCTTAATTTAGACTTGTTTTTGTAGATTTGTTTATGTCCTGATGTTGACCCACTCCATGTGTTAATTTGAGTTGACCAATGATGTTGTTGTTGCTATGCTTCCCCATTATGTAACCCTGAGACCCTATAAATACTGACTGGAAAAATAAAAGGGGGGCTCAGTCTCACTGGAGTACTGAGTCTCCCGTTGGCACCTTCGACAACAAAGAATCTTCTTGCTGTTTGCATCCATTGGCGTGGCTTATTGAGTCTGGGGGATCCTTCCCTGGACCCTAGAAACTAGGGTCTTTCAGTATATGCATTTCTTGTGCTTTTTCTGTGTTTTTTTCTGTTTTGTTTTTGTTTCTTTCCTATTTTTAGTTTGCTATTTTGTTTTATAAAGAGAGAAAGGAGGTGTGGAGTTGGATGGCTGTGAAGAGATGAGGGAAATTGGTAAAGAATATCTGCATAGGAAATTTTTATTCAAAAATATTGTGAAGAAGGACTCAGTTATCTTTAAAGGGCTGGGCACTGAGAGTTTGACCATGCTCCAATTATAACACGGGCAACACAAATTGAACTTGGTGAAATTTTTTTCTTCTTTTTTTGGGGGAGAGTACAAGGATGAGAGAATGGACCTAGGAGGAATTGAAAGTTAGTGTAATGAGGTACACTGTATGCAATTCCCAAATAATACATGAAAATATTATGTTGAAATAAAAATAAATCTTATGGAGGGAGCAAGAATTCAACTGTTAGGCACTGCAGTTCATAAAGAAGACTGAAGGAGTTGCCCTCCTAGCTTTAGAATGTGCTGTAAAGCTGCAGTGATACATGTAGTGTGGTGCCAAGGGGAGGAAAAGAGCCCAGGAGCAGTCCTCACCAACACACCTGGCTGGATTTTAAAAAAGCATCCAGAGGAGTTCAGTTAGGAAAAGAGAAACAGCGCCCCAAGGAATGATGTTGCAGTCAAGTAAGTATAAAGAGTGGACCTCAACTCTTACCTCTTGCTAAACACAGGACCTGAGAGCCAACATGCAACTATGAAGGAACAAGATGAATAGACAGAGGCTGGCCATATTACAGAAAGATGACGAGGACCTTGTGTGTGGACTATGAAAAGGAGTTCCAGAGCTCACCTGCAAATACTGAGTTACAGCACATGGAAAGACACTTCATAGAAGATAATGTCCATGACTAGTAACCACAATACTATTGGCCATCATAGCTGTACTCAGAAGTTGATACTAACATACATGTAAATGTGGTTAGATGTAAAAGACTGCAACATAAAACACTGGGGAGAAAGTGTAGGAATGACCAGAACACTTGCATGTATTGGAGGGAACATAAACAATACAACTACTTTCCATGCATATTCGCCAACATTTTTAACCTATTTATTTGTTGGGGTTAACGCTATGCTCACGTCAGGTTAGCACTATGCTCACATCATGGCTCATGTGTTGAGGTTCAGAGGGAAGCTTGTGCGAGTCAGTCCTTTCTTTACACCATGCGGATCTCTGGGGTCCACAGCAAGCTTCTTTACTCGCTAAACTGTCTGGCCTGCTTATATGCAAACATTTTATAATTGAACATATATTTATCTGACTAATGATCTCATAATTCCATGTCTTAGAAGAAATGCAATATACACAGTGGACTTGGGGTAGAATGAACATAGTATTTTCTATAAATACATTAAACCAGAAGTGAGTTATGAATCCACTAGAAGGAAAATGGACACATGAGTTGTGCACTGACAAGGAATTATTGGTATATTCAAGAATATAGAGAAATCTCTAAAGGTAATGAATGAAAGGGTGGACATAAAACGTGCTATTACTACACGGTCGTGAAATTTAAGAGGCAAACCTAACATAGACATGATTCTAAAGAACTCACTCTAGCGTCAAAAGACTGAGGAAAAGGAGCACGGGCTACTGGAGTGAGTGAGGACACCGTATCACACAACCCACCACACTGCACATTCCACCGCACCGCACGTACCAGGGCACTACACGTACCACGGCACAGCACATACCATGGCACTGCAATACCGCCTCACGGCACTCACTTCCCACTGCAACAAACATCCCACTGCACCGCACATACCACAGCTCTGCACATCTCGCCGCACTGCACATACCACGGCCCTGCACTTCACACCACACCGCACCGCAATTCCACCACAACGCACATCCCACACAACCAGCCGCACCACACATCCCACACATCCCACCGCACAGCACACACTTTCCACTGCCCCGCACATCCCACTGCCAGGTCAGCCAAAGCAAATGTATTTCTTGTCTTGAAACCTCGGCATCTACTTTTCACAGGACCTCCCTGCCTTGCATGACAGAAGATTCCAGTACACACTAAAGACTTAGCATTTCTGATTTTGTCACCCTGCAGTATTTGTGTTTAACTTTACAAGTGGGACTGTAAAATATGCCCATCTGAAGTAGATTTCTGGATAGAAATTTAAAATAAAGCCACAAATAATGCTATTTCATACTGAATAAATGTAAAAGGTTCCTCTGAGCACTAAGAGCAACACTGCTCTCTGGATAAACTTGTTTGCTGCTTGGATGAGAGATGCATAACACGCTACTTCTAATTTTTGCCTCAGCTGCCAAGAACTTCAGAGCCAAATTCAGTGCTCAGTTTAGTGATTAACATCCCAGCTGCCCCATATATCAATTTTTCTTGGGTGGAGGGTGAGAAAGGTGGGGGTATTAAATTATCCTGTTTCACACTGTGAACTGCTTCGAACCGTTGGAGAATGATGGTGCACAAATCAAATGAGACGCTGGCTATTCTGACATAATTAAACTTTACTTTTCTCTCCAGATAAATTTTGTGTGCTTTGCTTTCCCATGCTAGGATGTCAGCTGAGGGAGGGCTTTTGCTGCTTTCTTCATGAGTCACCTGCAAAGGGCAAGCTCTCTCCACTGCAAGGATTCCAAACCCAGCCCACTGACTGGCAGACACTACCCTGATGTTTAATGGAGAGGATTAGAGGACTGGGATCCAGTGAAGTGCAGCTTATGCAGGGGAAGGGCCCCTCATGGACTCCAGACAGTGGAAGAAATCCAGTGTGTTTCCTTCCATTCTTAGGGGAACAGAAGGAGTCAGAGCTATCAGAGTGCGTGTTTGTCTCTAGTCCTGTAACAAATGCTGTAGGCTGCTTTGATTTTACCAGGTGGACAGGAGATTTTCTGTCCACATTGAACAAAATCACACAACACTGGGCTCGGGAGCAGGGAGTCTGTGTTCCCAGTGTCTATGCTAAGGTCACCTCAATGAAACAGTTCCACCAACTCTCACCCGGGCTGCTGCTCTGCTCAGCACAGTGCGGGGCTGACGCTCTTCATGTTCCATTCTCGGTGGTGCACTTGCCCCATGGAAAACATTCTTTGGAAACTTCTCTGGCAAGTCATTGGCTGCTTTCGGGGTAACCTTTGGTGAATCCACCTATTGGTATGGGGTAAAACTACGTCATGAAATGAAAACTATGACATATCTTTAAAACAAATTCACTCCCATCCCCATTCCCTAAAAACCTAAGCTGGGTGATGCTGGACTTGACAAAGACACAAACAAGAAGCAACAATGGCTAGCATGGAAAAAAGGCAGTACTGAGTGAACTGCAGACCCTTCGTCGTCAATGGGACAAGACCAGTTAAAATCAGTGTCACTGTTACGCATGCTTTAAAAATCATCTCGACAGAAAACTTGCTTGCAGTGAAAATGGTATTTTTATGGAACACTGTCACATTTTCAAACTGCATGTGAATTCATTATTAACCTTTGCTGTGAGTGGAACCAGTGTATCGTTGTAGCTTAAATTCCTATTAATTAAGATCTTATTTTCCTATTGTTGAAGAGAGGCTAATTAATGTGAAAGTATACAAGGAGCTTATGATGTTGCTTACACAGAGTGCAGGTAGTTTAACCTTTGTGCAAGATGAGTTCACGTCACTGGCACCGTGTCCTTGGGCCAGAGGTTAACTTCATGACAAGCTTGCTGTCTCGCAGGCTTCTTTGTCACACTGTGGTGACATCTGGGAAAAAACTGACTCTCAATAACCTTGAAGTAGACACAGAAATAGAGGGCAGATCCTATAACCCACGTGGAAGACGGAAAGCCAGCGAAGGTCCTTGAGTGAAGTGTTTGTTCTGCAGTTTCGCGTTCACAGCAGCTCCAAGCGCCGTCGCCTTTTCCCTCAGTTAAATGGAGGGCAGGAGACAGGAACAGCAGAAGGGGAAATAATGGAGTAGCCAGTGCCAAAATAGAGAATAAATTATGCTGGCTGGGCAAATAGAGTCTTAATTTGTAGTCTCTCAATTTCCAGTTTCTGTTGCCAAGTGTGTCCATTCCTTCTCTTTGGAATAGGCTGGTTGTCTGAAGGTGGGGCTAAGTTGTCACAACACCCTCCTTTACCAACCTCCTCCCGGATCTCCGCATCATAATGAAGAGCGAAACCACTGCCTTTCACTAACCTGCAAATCGGAAATGTTTCCCAATCACTGGAAGTTTAACAGTTTTTCCACCCGTCCTCTAACTCCACTGGGAAAGTTGATGGTCCTCGAAACCCTGACATCACCTTGGTAAGAAATGTGTACTTGCTACATACTACACTAATGTGAAGTATGGGTCCCCAAACCGGTTTCATCCCCTGGAACACTGGCGTAGCAGTCACTGTGAGACATGCTCTGGATTAGCAGAAGTTTTCCCTTCCATCCTTCTTGAGATACAATCAACAAATGAAGATTTAAGTTGTCTGCTGTGATGTTTTGATGTCCCACATTGTGAAATACCATGATCGAGTCCACATATTTATCACATGTGTATGTAGTGGAAATGACACCTATTTTCTTAGTGGGTTACAAGCACATGTCACAACACATGACATTAATAAGTACAGCTGCCATGCTGTATAATGCATTCTTATAACTCATTCATCTTAAAACTGAAGGGTTTGTGTCTTTATTCGACATACCCCTGCTTTCCCCAACACCAAACCTTTGGTATCTACCATTCTACTCTTTAATGTCACGTTGGGTTACATTCCACCTACGAGTTACAGCTATGCAATGTCTGTCCTGGCCTCTTGGGCTCATTTCACCTCTTATTAAGGAAAAGGGGAATTGCTTTCTCTTTTAAAGCTACATGACTCTCCTGACTCCGTTCATCGCTATTGCTTCCGTTCAGTCACTGCTGGATACTACAACAATGAGACACACAGGTCTTGGCGACACCATGTCATTTCCTCTGCCCGTGCCTTCAGAACAGGAGCTGTTCCTAGTTGAAACAACTGAGGACTTTTAATCTCCTATGTACTAAGCATTTAAGGTAGGAGTTTTCCCTGAGAACCTCTGTCATATCGAACAGGATTGGGCATAGCATATTCCATCCTGTCTGCAGCTCCGTGGAAGAGATGGTCCCTCAAGGTAAGGCCAGTGGCCCGAGGCTGAGGCTGAAAGGCCAAGGGTGCTTTTATCTAATATGCAATGTTTTTGCCCCTTATGGAAGAGTTATATTTCTACACAAATTTAGAATGCTAAGAGAAAGATGGAATACATAAATCCTTAATTTTGAGCAGAGTGATATGTTCATATTTACAAAAATATAAAAATAAATACAAAAAACACTCCTGGCATCACAGAGTATCAAAAGGGATACCACCCAAATACACATCATTTTCCAAAAAAACCTCACTACTTAAATGAGATAATATGTTACTTAATTTTCCAGTGTAACGTCATACTGTTCTATAAAACTGGAACACTTTGCACTCCTAAACACTGATAACGAAGAATCCTTCTAAACAGGGATGTGTGTTCCATATCTCTCATATAGAAAACACACAGGAAGACAAGTTCATAGAATTACTTTAAGAACTAAAGGTTCTCCATGAAGATTTGTACCCCAACAACACACATTCCCCTTTGAATTGCTGGACTTTAGGAGCAGACCGAGAAAGCAACCATATTTTATGGTGTGCAATGAAGGGAACTCAAAGTTCTGCACCGAGCCACAGCTTGCCCGCTGCCTTGAAATGGGCAACCCATCTGAATTCCTGCTTCTGAAGGAAGAGGCATGGACAATCATGACGGATGCGGAAAAGGGGCGGGGCTGCACAGTGGGGTTCTCCCACATATTTCACACTCTGAGAACTCTGAGTCACAGCTGACCTCAGCAAGCACAGCTGAGATGCAAGTTCATTCACTGAATTTGAAAAAGTGAATCACAGAGGGCGACCCGGGATATCGCTGGATAGTAGCATGCCTGTTAAACAGACTTTAAGCCAAACATAACACAAAACAGTATCAAACAAAATGAACTAGCAAACCCAAATGCTTTCGTGGGTAGCACAGGCAGCTGGCAGGTCATCCAGGGGATAAACCTTGGAAACAGTCTGGTGACAGCCACCACCTCCAGAGCTGTTGGATGCTATTGCAAATAAAGGGTTTGCTTTTCAGGAGACAAACATACAAAACACCAACCAAACAAACAACAAACAAACAAACCCCCACACAACAGCATCTCTGCTAGACTGACAAAATTTCATTTCCAGTTTAGCTCCGGAAGAAATCGCCCATTTTACTGCAAGTGGTTCACCATACCCAAACAACTATGAATAAAAGATCTCTTCACTTGGAGGAGCACATTGTGAGTTCATGTGGACGGGTGCCACTTTCTAAGTCAAAAGCATTTTGTTAATCCTAAATTCTAAAAATTTCATTTGAAGATGAAATAATATGCTGAAAATCTTAATATACATAACTTCCTTCCCTTGGAATAATAAATGGTAAAAAGAGCTTATTTGCATAGGTCTGTTTTTTCAGGTACAATGACTTATTGTTAAATACCTCTCCATAAAAAAGTAGAAGTAATAATATTTCATTTACCACTCTACCACTAGCTGCAGTATCCCACACACACAGTGACAGGAGTCACTGAGGAGACACTGGCACTTGAAAGAGAAAATTTGTAGCCACCAGGCTGACTCAACTAATTCTGTTAGGGAACCATCAGCTGCAGAGGCCGTCCTGTGTGCATCATCAGTGGAACTGGGGACAGGATGGTAATGTCTGCATAGCTTCAACATTTTTAGGTTTGATTTTTAGAGCATTAATAAAAACCTGTAAACCGTAGAAATTAAAATTAAGATGAAATTTACCCACAGATAGTCACACTATATTTTTGACATATTTAAATATATATGTGCCTGTGAAATAGTAGAGAAATAAAGTCATTAATTAAATGTTGATATGCTATGAAATATGTCTTACTAGCTACAGATCCAGACTGATCACACTGCTGGCAGGAATTAAGATGCTAAAGTTGCATGTTATTTTTAAATAGTGTTACTTATAATTAAAGTGCTCTAATCAAAGGGAATAAAATATTTTTCATGAAAGCTCATTGGAAAATGTTCCACACTGTATTATTCTCTGCTTAAGAAATTGGTTTCACAACAAATGCTCTTTGATTTGGTGAACTGCAGATTGTAGAGGATACTAATTAGAATGTTATATCAAAAGATATAGTATTGTTTGTAAATGACTTATATTTCAGTGAAGCTGATGAAACTGAAAACTAAAAAAGAAAAAAAGGTGTGAATCTTAAACCACTAGAGATCAAGTGCTGACCATCACTGTAAGGGACACAGCCAAGGAGACGGTTCTTTGTTCCCATCACTGGAAGGAGAACACTCTGTCATGGAAATGGTTCTTTGTTTTGTTGGGAGAGTGATAAAAATACAGAAGTCAATAAAACTGTTAAAGAAGTCTCCGTAATTACCAAGATCAAAATCCAGTGGCTTTTCGTTAAACATGAACTTTTGTTCTGCCTCCTGCAATCTGTAAACAGTGCTGACAATCGGTCTGTGAGGCGCTCGCTACAATAAAATGTAATTGTATCACGAGAGAAAGGTGACAATCAGGGGATCATGGAAAAATTACACATTCTCACTGGTAGTTAATTAGCCATGCAAACCCTCCTCAAACAGATACTCTCTTCTATTAGGAATGATTGCTATGCGGGCCTACAGATGTCAATACCACAGTCATACAAATACTTCTCTCCCTACTAATTGAAGGTTGTAAAGCTCTGGTGCCAAGGTTTTGCTTCCAAAGAGCTAATTTATGACTAGAAGGATATTTTATGTCTTCAGTTGCAGCAGCTACAAAATTCAGCAAATCAGAACCATCTGTGCACCGAGACTCGACTCACCATTCACCGAGCAGCCTATCAGTCACATTAGCCTGCATCCTGCATTCTTGGCTCACCAGCACTTGTGCGGATCCAAGGTTCAGAAGAAATATTAAAGTAAATGACATTCTAACCCTAACTTGTACCTCCACCAGAATGCCCTCCACATGCATACAAACATGTATTTACTTATTTATTAGGTACTTATTTATTTGATATGGATAGCCTCAAGTGAGAAAAAGTCACTTCCTCATCTGTGGAACAGTGCTGCTAATCACAGACGCAGGTTCCTACCATCCTCTTCTGGAAATCCTTTGGCTTTATAATTCTTTGCTTTAAGTATTAACTTTTTAAAGTTGATCTGAGGGCATCCATTCAAATAAACACAACAAAGGAGATAACAAATACAGTAACAACTTGGTTAACAAGTAATTATTTCTATAAGCTGAAATATCAACAGATGTAAATCAATAACGTCTAAGAGTATTATTCAGCTCCATAATGAAAGCGGAAGGCAAAGACACAGGGCAGGAGTCAGAGGAAGCCTAGTGAAGCACAGAGAGGCTCTCACGAATCGAGGTGGAGTGGCCTTTAGCTCTACCCTAGCAACACACGAGGCCATCGATGACAGCTTCATTCTTTATCAACACACAGCAGGCACAGATCCCATTCTATGAGATAACGTGCCACAGAAACGTTCCGGTTTCTAGTGATGAGCTACCAACGCAGCGAACCCCTCCTTTTGGCTAAAACGTCTTCTCAGGAGCACATTCATAGTGTGCAATCGCAAGAGCACAAGGATTATGTGATACTTACTTTTTGACAGGTTGTAGGATGCACATGGACAGTATATGCTTCAGTGGAAAACTCCAGTGGCCCTAGATATACTCCATCTGGATTCAAAATTTTCTTGAGCTTCTGATAGTCTGGTTTTTCATCATAAGCTAAGTTATGGACACACATCAAGAACTGGGCGAGTTCACCTGTGAAGTATCAAAGTTTTTACGTTACACATAATTGGGAAGAATTATTAAAACTCTAACAATCCCAAAATTTTTGTTACCTTTTCCTCCACACACACACACACACACACATGAATGAACTAAAAATAAACAAGTTAATAAGAAGCATTTATAATGTTTTTTATTTTAAAAATTGAAAAAAAAATTAAAAACGACTGACATGACTTGCTAAAAACGGGATCCACTGACAATCTTTCAACATGTCTTCGCTGGTGTGGTTACAGGCGCTCATGTGCCAGGTGGAAGCACCTGTGTGGTGATAGTTCTAGCGTGGCTGTGTGATGTGCAGCTACTAACTACTCAAAACACAGCAGCTCAACACACTTCAGACTCTTCTTCTGCGTTGCCATTTAAACGTTCACTTAAAAACAAATGGTACTCACTATAAATCTGACTTCAAGGGAAAAGCACTGTAGGTTTCCCCTACAGCTTCCATTTTGCCATTATATGGCTATATTTAGAAATGACTATGGATTCCATATTTTCAGTGACGGCTAGCTTTGACAAGGAGGAACCCTCCAGCGTGTCCTCTGTACCTCAGTATCACAGTGCATCCCGCTAGTCCCGATTTTAGGTCGGTGGGCTGAGGAACTGGCTGTTTTCTCTCCAATGTAAAACTGTGTCAGCAGCGCTACACAGCAGCTCCCCATGGCAGCTTCTGTTTATTTTAGTGATAGGCTTTCAAACCAAGGCCTCACACGGGCTAAGAACTCACTCTGACACTAAGCTATTTCCACCCACTAGTTCTTTTTTTTAAACGAAGCACAATGAATAATACGAAGTGACAAAGAGTTGTGTTCAAATGCCTCTGCTCTGTACTTTCGTTTCAGGAGGAGGGTCACGCTAAAATTATCGTACTTTTACTTGTTTAAACAATTTCCATATCTGCTTTTCCCCTTCCAAAATTTATTACTGACTCACACTACCTCATCCTCTCTCACGTGGGTGTTTAAGCTCCATGGCAGGAAGGCCTGGTCAGCGTCATCAGCTGAGGGTAACTACTTAACACTTTCTTTTCCTTTGCATTGGCCCTCCATTCAAACAGACATATAGAGGCACTAGGACTCACTGACTAGACAGAAACTAAACAAACAAGCAAACAAATACATAAATATCCAAAAGTAATAACCACATCCTTTCTTTTAAAACCAGATGACCTGTGTGTGTGTGTGTGTGTGTGTGTGTGTGTGTGTGTGTGTGTGTGTATACACGTGAGGACACTCGCACAGGCACGTGTGAGTGTAGGTACCCACGTCCAAAGAGGTCAACAGATTCTCTAGCAGTGGAGCTATAAGTGATTTTGAGCTCCCCAATGTGGGTACTGGGAACCATATTCTGGTCCTCTGCAAGAGAAGTAAACCTGCCTACTAGCTGAGCTGTCTCTCCAGCACCCAGAGTGACCATTCTATACCACAGTTAGAATGACTATCTAGGAATGAAGAGCTAACATAGTTCAGATCAGAACTCCTGGTTCTGCTACTGTTTATTTTCTAACAGTCTAGCCATTCGGAAGCTTACTTCCCCCTTTCTTCCCTAATGCATGAGACATGTCAAGCCCTGTTGTCTAACAGTTAGTTCATCAGATGGCTCGGAGTTAACAGCTCCTCTGTTAAAACATAGTTGAACTGGTGATTTCTGGTGTCCCTTTGGGGGCATCCAAATCCAGTTATTAAAGAAATACTCAACAACATTCTCTGGCATTTTCAGAGACATGTTCTACTGCTTTTTAGTCCTGGAATAGCTGGTAAGCTGAGCTTAGTATAAACTATAAGTCTATTAATCAGAGGACCCCAAATGGAGAACAGGGCAGAGTTTGTAGGAAATGAATGCCGGTTACAAGACAAAGGAGAATTCCCGGCACACCACCAACAGAGAGCAGCTGTACAAAAGGAAATGTGGCATCAGAGAGACTCAGGAGGGCAAAAAAAAAAAAAAAAAAAAAAAAAAGGATCACGCCCACAATGGATTTATTATCATAAGCCTGAAGTTCAGAGCATGGTGAGGGAGTACTGGCATAAGTGTTAGCCTTCCAAGATCTGGATTTATTTCATGAAGTATAATGTTGGTCTCCTTGTGAATTTGTGGAGCTATTAGACAGAATTCATCAAGTATCACAGAACTGGTATAGTCCTGAATTACCTGCCTTTTGGGCTAGTGACATATAAGCATCATCACTGACTACTTTACAACTTTATTCAAGACAATAAAGACTTCTGAGCGTACTACACTGAGCTGGATACACATGCTGCAAACTTCTGCATTGTTTTATATAAAACAGGATAGGAATTAGAGTTTTGTAAATCAGTTTATTTTCAAGGCTGTGGTTGCTCTACATTCTCCAGAGAAAATGCTGCTGTGAAGCTCTGTGCTCTAAGAACAGAAACCTGTTTATGTGTAAGAGCATAGACTAAATTCATGGCTAAGAACACAAGGAATCAGGTGTGACCCATCACTAGACTGTTCATGTGAGTAAAATTCTAGCCTATACCTAATGACTGATGTATCATAGGACACAGACTAGCTCACAAGCATCCACCTTGTTCAATTGGAGGCATCCAGGCCTTCTGTTCTAGACCTGAGCTGAAAGGACTGGAAGTTAAGGAAGGCATATAATCTGAAAGGAAATGGCTCTGCTCCATCTTGTTTTCTATCTCACTGAGAAAATATACTATCTGACTTGGTCAGAATAATGTCACTTTTATCATGTTCTCTAATGTGGTTACAGACTAAAACAAACAACAATAAAATTTCCAGCTTATCTCCCTCTTTTGTCCTTTCCATTAGAAGAAAAGTGTCACAGAAAGGGGAAGATGGGAACCTGGCACTCTGATGCACAATAAGACATAGGAAATGGAGGCCTGGGTTGCTCCTCTTTGATTTCCTCTGTAAATGACAGCTTTGGTTCATAGTGGAGATGAGCTGAGGTTACAGGCTAAGACGACACCTCGACTGCGCTACTCACAATATGCGTTCTGAATTTAGGAGAAGCCAGTGCATATGTGTGTTTCTAGAAGTCAGCTAAACACTGACCTTGAGATGGTCTCCAGTCAATAAAGACTAAGATCCACTCTGCTGCCAGGTAATCCCATCACCTGGAAGGCAGAGGCAGTTTGATCTTTGTGAGTTTGAGGCCAGCCTGATCTACAGAGGACAGGAGGACAGCCAGGGCTACACAGAGAAATAAATAAATAAATAAATAAACAAACAAACAAATAAAGACTCACTCTGCTAACCTGCTACTGGCGAAAGAAAAGTCTGATGTTCTGGTTAGCTGTCTCTTCCCTACCGTGCTGTAGTCACTACGGAATGACTCACATATGCAGAAACAAGTGGTAGAAATGGGAACTGCAGGCTGATTTACCATTCACACCAATATGAATGTCAAAGAACCTGAAAACAGCCTCTACAAACTTCAAGGAGAAAATTGTTTCTAAAATGCACCTCTATGTCCCCACATCGGGTGACTTTCTAATCTGAAAACTTGTGCTGACTGATCAATAGTGTGACCCAGGTATAAAGAGCAATCAGGCATATAATGGTTAAGTTTTTAAAATACACTGACTCAAAATAGTCTTTTTATAAGTTGATTTTACCTCCATTCAAAAGTGTTTTAATTCTAAAAATACCAGTTGCTATTGACTAACCTGTGAATGACTCTGAAAATACAACCTAAAACTCTAGATAAGCCCAGAAAGACAGCAAGCTAGGGCTCCACTGCTTTGGCGCTAATGTCAGAGCTGATTTAAACATCTTCTCTAGCAAACAAACTATCTGTGACCCAGAAGCTTTCCCGCTGTGGGAAGGGGAGTGGATGAGGCTAAGTGGCAACTGTGATGACCTGTGGAGAGAGAGATGCAGAGGCTTTATCTTCCAACTTACGGCAACTGGTTCCTGGAGGGGCCCACGTAAGCACGGACTCTGGGAGTTCATCCAGCAGACTAAACAAAACAGGGAAAGCACATGGTAAGTGTCCTCAGGCCAGGCTCCTTGTTTCAGTCAGAGCACAAAACTCTGGTCCTGCGTTGACAGGATCCACAATTGCGCCCCTTTTTACCCAGCTGTAATGGATAGGAGGATTGGCAAAGGGTGGGGGTGCTTAGTTCTAACTGATCAATTTTACAGTTGCAACCACCACCTAGAGGTCAAGCAATGAGAAACAAGGATGATTTATCTCAAGTTGTATATTACTGAGGACTGCAGAGGTAGGAATGCTTGCCTTAAAAACAACAACAAAAAATACATATAAAATTGTTTGTGGATGATGAAGTCATTTTGTCCTCACATATTTGTCGCTGGAGAGCTGTGTGGGTCTCTGCAGATGTCATAGCGCAGTAAAACTATCAAGAAGAGGTGAGAATAAAAACTCAGTTCAAATTGACTTCGCCAACCTGGATCAAAACTTCTGGGAGTCTGATGCCAGGAGGTTTATTGTCAGTACATTTAAACAAAACAGAGTATGGGGAAAAGGTTTCCAGGAAATAATCATTTCAATTCCAGGTACACAATAAAGCTTAGTTGGCCACATGGAACGTGGGACCATGAAGGTAGATTCTATAGCTAAAAGGTTTAGAATCTAGGAAAAAGGCCATAAACAACATGTGACATCCCCCCTAAGGATGGGTTCTATTAACTGGAAGCTAAAGATAAGGGTTTAGGGAGGGAGAGTCTGGGATAGACATTCTGGGGGACTTGGGTGAGGTCTGTCTTCATTGAGAGCAAAGGTCACCAGGTTGTTGACAATATCCACTCCTAGGCTTCAGGACGGGAAAACAGGTATTTTTTCTCCTGAGGAGAGGCCCTGGTATGTTCAACTTTCCTGGTTTCACTGGTGATCTTTGGGCAAAACACGTTTGTGGTCCTTCCTCTCCTCCCAAAAACAAAACCATATTTTCCTCATGTATTTACCACTGGCAAAGGAGAGTTTCTGATTGTCCATGTGCAACAGTTCTCCCCTGGGGAGAGTCCGTACTTACCAGTGACTGGATGAGTTAACAGAAAGTATTAACACAACACACCAAATCAAAACAATGAACAACTGGTAAGTACTTTCCAGGATTTTTGATTAAATAAATATGACGCTCTTAAGTTGCTGTAGCAAAAATATATAAAGTCTCAGCTAAAATTATAGATATGAGTGAATGGTTCACAAAGAAACTCAAGGAGAAAAGTGTGGTATGTGCCGTAATCTCAAGCAACTCATGACAGCAAAAACGAAGGAACATTGTGCTGTGGCCAAATTTACCATCCTGCCTCATGTTACACCTTCATCGACAAATAAAGGACTGTTTATTATGTAAGAAATCTGAGAACTTTTAAGTTTTGACACATAATATATTAGCTCTACTAATGTTTGGATTTATATTGTTAATCAAATAAAAATGAAGATAATATTATGTAAAGTAAAGGTAATGTTCAACTTATTAAAACTCTATCTTTACACAGTATCCTTTTATTATACATGAATACATATGTAGACATACTCACTAGTTATTAAAACGAAGGCATTTATGTATACATGTTGATACAAGAGTAAAACAAGCCATTTGTAAGTCTTATTAAAATAAAGCCTGCCAATCAATGATCATTAGAATTAAAATGCTGGCCTTGAACTGAAATGCACTACTTACATTAGATACACTGAGCTGCCACACTGTATACAAGGACTGCTTACGAGTGTCCGTGCCTGTGAGTTGACTTGGCCAGAAATGTCAGTTACGAAGGCTGAAATGGGCAAAACTCATTCGAGAGGCGCAACTCTGACTGGCACAACTGTGTCAGGGACTAGGGTGGTCACGATTACAGGTAGAACTATTGCACATGTCCGTTTGCAAACATCTGTCATTTCCAACCTGTACTCTAAACTTTCTACCTTGATTACTGATCCCCCAGTCAGACCAACTGTGGTGGGGCACACCTCCAATCCCAGCACTTGGGTGGCTGAGGCAAAAAGATCACTTATTGAGGTTGAGACCACTTGGACTACAGAGTGAGACACAGTCTAAACAATTTTTGAATTTGAAGATTGATTTATATGGCCGAGCTACACCTCTCTGTCCATTTTCATTGCTTTTTTTCCTAAAGCTCTACTCTCTTGGTACAACAGCAGCCTCTCCACGGATAACTATCTCAGCCTATCTTTATGTGTGAGGGAAAGCTGGCTACTCAGTGCCCGGAACCCAGCTGCCCAGTGAGAGAATTGTAAAACACACTGTTTTGAAACTGACCTCCTTGTGCTAACAGAGTCGAGGTAAAAACTTTGAAGGTAGAAGTGTTAGAAAGGTTTATGAAGGCTACAAGAGTATTTCACATAAATGGCTCGTGTAAATGTTTTCTTTCTTTCAACCTCAAGAAACAAAGCCTGGGCCTTCTGGGGTAGGAACATGAGGTATGCTGTCCTCACCTGAGGACTGCAAGCCCTGCTCTCCTGCCTCACGCGTCTGCTGCACAGCTGATCTCAACCACACCAAGAACAGCCTCCTTCCAGACTCAGGTGCCACACTAATTTTAAAAGAGTCCGCTGGAAAATAGCAAGTCCAGAAAGAGATATTTTAGCTCATATTTGCATTGTAAAATTATCTCTATTTTATAATAGTGTGGTCTTAATGGATTCTATGTCTGTTACTGATTTTGTTTTTTAAACATTAGTTTTCAACCTAATGATATTTGTGTCGTCATGGTGGCCGAGGGGTAATTTTGTCTGGTCTCAGTCCTGTCGCAAGAAGAGATCAGATATTTAAGAATCCCTACTTGGTTTTAGCAGTCTGGACTGCCACAGGGTCATCCAGGATTTTGTCCCAAGGCAGCTTCCCACATAGCCAGTGCAGCATACAGTAACCAAGGATCTCAACGTCGCTTCTTCTGGAAGGGGCTGCAGAAAGGGGAGGATAAGAAAGTTCGTGAGAAATAGAGAAATCTTTGAGTGAGCTCCCATTGACGAAATATGAAAAAGCCAAATGGCAAAGTGTCGTGTTTACTCAGCTGGAGTGAAGTTAACCGTCTGGGCCTTGGGCCTCAGCCCACAGGCAGGCAGGACTTGCTGCTGAAGTAAGGGTCAGTTTCCTCACCTCCTCCAACTTCATCTTTCCTTAGTCTAGTCTGTCACATGAACTTGATCCCGTGGCCTCTGACATGATCCAGACAACCCATAACCCAGCACTAACACTTTCTCAAAGAGCCCAACAGTAAAACAAAGAAATAAATGTCTGCAGCTAAATTGCTAACACATGTTCCAGGAAGTCCATGGGGTCCGCCTCGGTCATGCAGAGACCCTGGGAGAGCAGACTAAACACCGAAGGCCTTTCCTATTCTGTCACGCTAGTGGTCGCACTTGAAGTCAGAAGAATATGACAAAACTGCCATCTAGTGTGCAGTCTTTAAAACCAGGCCCAGGAAGACCTGTAGTTACTTGGAAGCACAGCAAACTGTGGGCACACAGCTCCACGGTGCTACACACAGCATCTCTGGAGGGAAGGGACTCCCTCGAAAAGACAGACTTGGGTCTGAAGAGAAAAGCCAAAGGTGAGGGAAGCATGGAGAGGCTGTACTGTAGAGGCTATGGTGGGGAAGGAAGCTCGGAAGCCAAATAGAGACAAACTCTCAATGCCGTGGACTAATTTCCTCTCATTTTGACATACTTTCCTCAACCACCTTATATCAAAAGACAATGAGACCCAAGAATTGGGAAATATAACTGACACTTGCTAGTAAGTCACTGAACTGATGACTGCACAGTCAGAGAATACCTGTAAAATGAAGTCATTTTATAAGCATTCCAAGCCATTATAAAAACAATAGGCTGGTATTTATACCTATTCTATTACTTGAATGTTCATCTGTGCAGGGATATATAATATCCTGAGCAATCTGTGGCTGTTAAAGTTGTTCTAAACAGGTATCCTATTTCATAGTCCTTCACTAAATAAATTCTGAAAAGTCACTGAGTGAATGAACTAAGTCTTTAATTTATGCCTCCATCTACTGAGAAGAATGGTGCTACCTCACTGCGGCTACTCTGGGTCACCATACGTAAATTATAATACTGCCAGAACACTATAGCTGCTCTGGGTCACCATATATAAGTTCTTAGAAAAGCAGAGTGCACAATTACTCCTACACATAGTCATACACATCCTAACTGCTACTTTAGTACTGGGTTATTACAGTCCTTGAATCCAGTACAAGGCCAGGCCCATGGGTGCTGTTTATTTTCTGCACAGGCTTCAACAGTGTTCGAATGCAGGTCTTGGCTCTAGTATTAAATAAAAACAGTCTCTATCATGCTGCTTTGCAGTGATTTCCTTGGTGATAAATCTCCCATTAATAATAGAATGGCTCCATGTGTACAGATGTGTACACAAGTCTCTTCCATTACAAGAATTCCCGATGACTATCAATTAAAAAATTCACATCCTTTAATATTAAAAAATGATATTCTGACACTTGTTTGGGAATACTGGATATACACAAAAGGAGAGGGAAAACTAATATGAATTAATGTGGAATGAACCTTCCCAGTGACTCCAGCCACCCTCCAGCTGCATATATTGGCAAGTCGTTTAGATTTCTGAAACCAATATTTCATAAACTGGTCTTTGTGTAAAATAGTCCGTTGAAGGTTGATTTCACTATTATCTATCTTATTAAATATCAAGTTTTCAATCTTTCCCTATATGCACTACGTTAGTAGGTGTGGATAACAAATATTTTATGCTCTTCTTGCTAAATACTACAAAAATATTTGTAATGTTAAAAAGAACAATTATGTTTTCCTAGCCTAAGAAGTACAACAAAAGTAACAAAAATGTTTCTGAGTTTGTATCTCTGACTGAAAATTGACTCCAGGAGAAAAAACACTTGACTTGTTTCAGGAAAATTAAACTCTTCCAATCTACAAGTATCGTGTTCTACCCATATGGAGAGGAATAATTTCAATAATTGTTAATTCAAAAACAATAGTTGAGAAGTACACAGTCACTTGGTACTGTGGCAGAGGACTCAGTCTTGGTTTCCAGCATCTCTATGGTGGCTCACAAACATCTGTAACTCCAGTTCCAGGTGGTCTAATGCCACCTTCTGGCAGCCACAGGTATCAGGCATGTACATGTTGCACATACATGCCTGCCGACAAAACATTCATTCACAGGAAAGAAGATGTCTGAAAATATTTTTAACCTTGAATCTGACTGTTCCAAATTCATTAGAAAATGCTAAGTGAACCAAGAAATGAAAAGAGAGCCAGGATAGGAATTCGTACAGCAGGGGTGAGTCCCAGTCCCAACTCTCTCACGCTGAACTCTGCAATTCAATGTGCAGTCTACTGTCTTCAATACACTGGATTCATTTGGAAAGACAAAAGACTGTGGATTGTTCTCTCTTGAAAACATGTTTGCATAACTCACTGTACTGCATAAGGTTCTCACTTGCATTTCGTAGCCAATAAATCATTATTTAATGGTCTTCATACAGATACACAGCAATTCAGACTTTTACTTTCTGTTGGAAATTTTGTTATCAGAAGTTTTCCTCTAAACTTTCTTAAATTAGTTTCCAAATACTATTTAGCATCTAATTTTATTGTGCTTGCTAGCACGGAGCGAGGCAGATCTTTCTTTTCACTGAGTGTGTGTTGTTCACAATTGCTCAACATTTCAAAATGATAAAGTGTTGCCAAGTACAACAATAATAAAAAATAGGCCCAGGTGAGGACTCAGCCTCTATTTCAGAAAACAGATTCCAGAAATAGCTGACACTAGAATTGAAAATTAAAATAAAAGAATTTACATGATTGATGGAGAACATCTACAGTACCACACGGTGAAGTACTACTGTATTATTACTTTTTAATCATTCCAACAGCGTCATTGCTACTAATCATAATTGGTACTTAAAAAAACAGAGGCTTAAAAGGTTAAATAACCTGCTTCATGTCAGAGCAATCCTGAAGCTACACTGTTCGGAATGCGGAAGCACATGCGCAGACTAATGTCCACCTCCAGCACCAGCTGAGAGTCATCCAATCGGCATTCTCTCACTGCTCTCAGTTATGGAAGGAGCCAAACACACAGGCATTTTGAATACAATACAAAAAGACACAGCAAAAACGTATTTACTTGTGCAATGAATAAATAAGTAGCAGACTCCAATCTTTCCAGAATTACTGACAAAATTGTCCTTGCGCCCATCCTTCCTGGAAAGCTCCCTCCACTTCACCCATTATGATAAAAGGGCCTTGTTAGTAATATTTATTTACAAAGTAGCAATGTCCATCTAAACTGGTGTAAGATCAACAGAAAGGTCACACTAGAAGTCTAGCTTGCACTCTAAAGACAAACAGGGTAGTTAACTGGGCCCACTCACCAAAGGTAAAGAAAGAAGAATAGGAAAGTGTTTTAACTCCATATGCATCTGGCAGTCTGGTACACTTTCCACTAAGTTTCATTTCTTCTGCATTATGGAGGGTGAAAAGACACAGGGTTTGGTAGGAAACAAAGCAAACATGAAAACACTTGTTCCCAGTAAGAAAGATGTAAATGCCTAACATGTTACTATATGTGGTCGGAAATTATGAGCAAGTAGAAATGTTTGAACAAGAGGCTCACTGGATAGAGGGGCGGTGACTAATGGCAGGAAAATGTGTATTTTATTCTTAGGTTTCCAACTGGTGACTGTGTTCTTGAATATTTTGTCAACTCAGACGTACAGAGAGCAAGAAAATATTACGGTGGCTCTTGTTATGGTTTGATTATGGCAAATCTGCCACAGAATTGTGTCGTGGGCCTTAGCGGCAGACTGGGGATCTTCTGGGGTGCACAGGAGGGGTGGATCTGACGGTTTTACTCCTTTGATGAATTAATCATACATGGCAATACTGGAAGTGGGTAAGGAGTGAGGAGTTAGGATACTGAAGGAAATAGTCCCTGGGGGCTCGGTCCTGGGAGCTGTGCTGTTTGCTCCTCCTTTCTCATCGCCCCCTTTTCTACTCACTGTTTGTCATGCTGAAGTGCTTCACGTGATCCCACTGTCTGCAACATGTAACCACACTGCCTCCACCACCCCACTGCCATGATTTGTGGCTTCATATGCATCCAGCATGGAAGAAGGCAAAGACCACAGAGTGGAATATTTAGGTCTGTGAACTAATATAACTCTGTTGCCTACAGAATTATTTCAAGCATTTGCCAGAAAGCAAAGTCTGACTAACACACTACCACTTGTTACAGTCTCAGAGGGGTAGTGGGAGTGAAAGTCAAAGTCACATGTTTCAAATAAACGAGAAACCTAGGCATCTGGGTTTTGCTTTTCCTCTTTTTAATACCGTTTACAGACTAATCCCTGGTGTGTGTGTGTGTGTGTGTGTGTGTGTGTGTGTGTGTGTGTGTATGATTAATGTAGAGCTATTAGGAAAAGTTAGTCAACTGAACAAAGAGACTTTACATTTAGGCACTGGTACATTCCTTGCCAAACAGTTCAACTAAAAAAGCCAAGAAATATGACTTAGGTATAAATGTAAAGGAGTATATGAATGAGATGGGTCAGCAAATAAAGGTGCCTGCCACTAAGTTTAAGGACTGGAGTTTTACCCCTGGCACACACATGGTAGAGGGAAGAATGAAATCCCAGAAGCTATCCTCTGACTTCTACATGTGTGCCACAGTATCCATCCACCCAAAATAAATGTAACAAAAGATCAAAATATGAAACCAAAGGGCATATGTCACATCGCCACAATGTCTTCCCTGTCTTTACATGCTAGCCAAAGGCTATATATAGCATTCAATTTTACCTAAAAAGAAGAGATTAACAGTATAGTTCTCTAACTCCTTGGGAAACACTTAATGGTATTTAATTCAGTATTTAATAGTATTGCTTAATATCCCAATAGAAAAAGGTATTTGTTCCTTTGACTTTGTTGTAGGATATAAGTTGTGTCACCCACGCCATCTCTCCAGTTTAGCAGCACGAAAACATAATCTCAGTTTCGTTCACAGATATTTTGTAAGTTGGAGTTCTAAAGTGAGATGAAACCACGCAAGAAGCAGGCCAAGACTTGGACTCTATGTGCTGTAGCACATGGGAAAAAGTTAAATATGCAATATATTTTTTCTTTGACACTGAATATATTACATAAGCAAATAGACATTTAAAATGCAATTTAGATATTATACTGTATGGCATCAATGATGTCAGATTAGAACAGGTATTATATACCCAGTGCCCAGCTCTGAAGTGTGTAAGAAAGCTCTATCTGTTCAATGCAGTCTGTCTCTAGAGAAATTAGGTATTGACTGCATGCCCCAGTGAGCAGAAAAATCTACAAAAATCCATATTACTCATTGATCCAAATATTGCTTCTTAACATTACTAAGAATGCAACAAATTTTAAAACAGTGTATTTGACACACATATAATTCTCTTTAATTATCTTGCAACAAGAACAAAGTATGTCAGTGCTCGTACATGCTAGTTTTATGGAGGAAAAATTAATAATGAAGAACTACGCTTAACACTCTTCCTCTGATTTTCCCTGATGAAGCAAGTCAGCTACAGAAAGTTCCCTTCAGTTACACAGAGTCGGAGTGTGGAAGAACAACCGCTGGGTTTAGAAGTCATGCCCTTCCGCAACACTTCCAGGAGTCACCACCTTCCCATCGTCCTTTTGTTCTTCCACCTCATCTCAGTATGTCCCTCTGCACAGCTTTTGGCTTAGTAAGCTACACAGTAGAAAAACTGTTCTTTCCCTCCCTTTCACCACTCCCTGTAACCGACTACAAATTAGAAAACATGGAGGTAGGAGGACTAAATGGTACCCTAGACAAATGCAGCTATGTTCTCCGGGCCTAGACAAGGACTAGGAGAATCTCAAGGCCGGCAGGCAGCCCACTCAGGGCGAACACCCCTCTCCTGAACTGTGCAGAGGCACAGCTGCTGTGCAGGAGCCTCTTTGACAAGCACAGGATCTGGTTCACAGGGACAGCTCTTCTTGATTCTTGCTGTTTTCTTTTGCATCCTTTTCTCCCTTGGACTGGAACAGGAAAAGGTGGCTGATACTAAATCACACAGGCACTATGCTTATAGATAACATACAGATATTTAAGAATCTGATTTTCTCCATTTCAATATAGAATTTGAGCTCTTTATTCTGCTTTCTAAAGATGGTTAAATGATTGGTTCATTTTTAACAAAATTCTGAGCTGAAAAGCTTTATTTTGCAAAATTAAGTCAAAAATGTTAGGAACAAACACTGTTCAAACACAGTGAGAATATCCAATCTTCCATTTTTATTATGAAACAAATACATATGTCTTTGGTAAATATATGTATATATGTATACATACATAGGTAGGTATATGTGGGCAAACATACATGTACTTAAATAGATGATAATATGCACAATGTATGAAAAGAATCCACTATTTTACAGGAAAGCTGGTCAATTTGTGATTAAATGAATACTCACTCAAGCACAAGACCACAAACTTCCCTGCAAATCTCAAAATAGTTTCCCTGGCTCTATCCTGAATGTTCTTTCAGATGCAGCCCCATGTCTATGATCACGCTCAGTCCAGTCTTCTCCCCGAGACCCAAGTGGAGAAATCTACCCAGAGTCTCAATCAGCGCATACTATAATTGGGAGGAAGAAGTTGAAGTAGAGTACTGAATAGAAATTGGATTACATATTTCATGAAGACAAAACACAATAAATACTATGCAGAATTAACTAAAGAAGACTTTCCCAAATACTGCTGTCTGACGATCACGCTTTAATCCTCCTACAGTTAAACTGTGCCTTCGACGGACTCAGCTTTAGAACATTAATAACAGTGCTTAAGAATATGTGTGGTATAACACCAGGTCAGGAGTTCTTTTGTATCTCTGAAAATTCTATTCTCTATCACAGGGTAAGTCTGGCAAACATTCCTCGGCTCAATGAAAATGAGAAAACTTAAACTTAGAATGCACCACTGTCTGGGCTGGAGAGATGACGTCGTGGGTGAGAGCACTTGCTGTTCTTGGAGAGGACACAGGTTCAGGTTCTAGCACCCACACGTGGCTCACAGCTATGGAGACCTCCAGTTCCAGGGAATCCAATGTTCTTTCTGACCTTGCTTGGCATGCATCTGGTACACATAGACACACGCAGGCCAAATACTCATATACATAAAATAAATCTAAATAAATTGTTTTAAGAAGCACCACTGTCAATTGGCATGTTATTTTCCTATTTTCTAATTTAATCAAAGTCATGTCACATTTTACATTAAAGGGTTAACTACATCAAAAACGTAAATGATGAAAAATTCCACAACACTAACCATTACTTTTCTAAGAAAACCAGACTTGACAAAGACATATTCTGATTTCTTTCCCTCTGCCGCAGAGTATAAAAACTGGCTTTCATTTCAGAAACTGTTCCCTAGAAGTCTTCCTAGGAAGAAGGTGGCACACAATCCACACATTGGCTCCACCTTCTTGACGGCCTTCCCTAAAAGACTATGGGTTTTAATTGCTCTGGAAAATGATCAACACCCTCTGCATTACATGGCCAATGGTCCTTTTAATAGAAAAGGCAATAATATTCAGTTGTTTGCACCAAGTAAAACTCGTTAGAAAGTATTAGTTTAGGCTAACAGTCCGAAGGCCATTAACAGCACAAAAGTCGAGCTGACACCCAGTGAGGATGCATCTTTCACAGCTGTTTAAAATTATGTTTGCTTTACCATGTCTGAAAACACTTTCATAAACAAAGTTTGCAAAGAATATAATTTTGAAAACCAAAGTTTTTTAATAATCGCCATTTTTTTCACTAGCATAACATTAGAATTGACTTTTTGTCTTGCTGACAGAGCAACTAAGAAAGTACAGTTGCACTGAGCATATTGATTGTGAGCAAAGCAGCCATCAGTGGGACTCGGCACCATATATTTTCAATATTGACCTCCTACTTCCTTTTCCATGGCTTTCTGGGCTGGCTATTGGATTTGGACTGCAGAGTAATAAACAGCTAAGGTTTAATTAATGGTAAATGAATACAAGACATAGGTTATGACTTTAACTAATTAGGGAATTGTTGAATTAAGTCTGCCTTGGAATGCAAGGCAGTACAATCAATATCCAATAAAAGGGCTATGTATGTAATTTACCTGCAAATGTGTTTCCAATACCATCAAAGTGAGTTTAAATAAGTAAGATCTATGAAAGGCGACTGGGAGAGATTTCCCAAGTTAACACTTTGGGCGTTCAGAGGATGCTGCTGCTGTGGAGACATGCCTTTAAGGCTCTGAGAAGGACACAATGCTAACACGACAGCACGTGACCGCCACTGATCCTGACGCCCCCACAGCACCGTCCAGCAGCCTCACACACAGACCTGTGACTTCTCAGCCTAATGACTGGCAGGCTTTCCTCCCTTCTGGAGAGGCACAGTCTCTGTCTACTCGTGTGGTTTCGGGTTTCTGTCAGATACTCACTAAGATAACAGGAATTCACTACTTTGCACAAAAATCTTGCCAGTGTGCTCCTCCTTTAGCTTGACCATGCAACAGTCACCTCACTTATCTTCAGCACTCTCAACTCAGTCATCCTTGTGAGATAAAAGCATGAACTAGAAAAGAGCGACTTACCTACTCCTCTGTGAGCATCCAAACTTGTGAACTCTATTGTTCCGTTGTGGCCCTTCCTGGGATTTTCTTGGTACTGTTTGTGGTTCCCGTTGGGACAGTATCTGTAGGACAGTCCATAGTCTGCAAGATAAACCTGGAAGAGACAGAGAGGCCAATGAGTAATGCTTTGTCCTCTAAATACATGACCTTCACAATAAAGTCTTAAGAAACTGGTAAGCCCAGTGAGATGGCTCAGTGGGTAAAGGCACTTGCCCCCAAGTCTAAATACCTGAGATCAGTATCTGGGACCCACAGGGTGGAAGGTCAGAACTAAGTCCTCTGACCTCCTGACGTTCACATATGCACTGTGCTACAAGTGTGCATGCACACACACACACACACACACCCCTACACACACACACCACAAAATAATAAATGAATTACAAGTTTTAAAAAGGAGGTTGAGGGGGCTGGAGAGATGGCTCAGCTGTTAAGAGCACTGATTGCTCTTCCACAGGTCCTAAACTCAATTCCCAGCAACCACATAGTGGCTCACAACCATCTGTAATGAGATCTGGTGTCCTCTTCTGGCACACATGTAGGCAGAACACTGTATACTAAATAAAGTTGTTGTTTTTTTTTTAAAGAAACTTGAAACTTAAGAGAAATGTTAGACTTCAGATAAATGTTTCACTAAACCAACCAAATGGTGGCTAAAAAAAGGTACCAGGAACCAGGAAAACCAAGTTCCTAACTTAAATCCATGCTTCATCATAGGCTCAGACTTTTTTTTTGTCTGTTGTCACATAGGTTACTAAACTCTGCCTTTTAAGGAACCCTTTTCTGAAACCTTGACTGTCTTGTGTACAGAAGGCAGAGCAGAAGAAAGCAATGTTCTTAAAGTATGAACATGGCAAGTCTCTACTGGCAGGAAGTTGAAACGCAATGAGCAGTCTGGCAGGGCTGATAACTCCAGCAGGAAACAAGGAACTAAAATGCCAACCCCCAAGCCCTCACCAACTGTGTGTGGGTAAGAATGGATGATTGCCAGGTGGTGGCGCACGCCTTTAATCCCAGCACTTGGGAGGCAGAGGCAGGCAGCTCTCAGGGTGTGCAGCCCAAATAGAGAACTGTTTTGAATACATGTTTCTGTGTCACGGAGAGGTAGAACCATTCCACGGGTCTCAAATACACTGTACCATACCCACCATGCCTCACAAAAGCAGTTTCAACTTAAGAACATATGGCTTCCAACACATTTCTTTAGAATTTAGGTATTTGGACAATGTTTCTAAATATAGCCTCATGACAGTAAAGTGTCACAACCCATTGAAAGAAATTGTAGTATGTATATAGTAGTTTCTTAAATATTTCCTTTTAGGTTCTCTCAAATAGAAGATATTTGGAATTTCTACACATAAGACACACACTTTTCTTTAGTTGTTGGAAAATATAAATTTATTGAATGATCTGATGTCATAAGCACCAGACTAGGCTGTTATCTATCATACGTTACCCTTTTGTGGGTGACTTCTGCTGTGGTCTAGCTACAGCAGGTTCGTACATTCCAGGGTAGGGGCTTGAGGATTAGAAACATTAGGCAAGAGGAATAGAGATAAGAAAGAATCACAGAGACATAGGATAGAAACGGGAGGGCAGTTTAGCAGGGATACTGGATGTTGAACTCACCCATGTTTATTTTCCATATACTTTTATACCCCAGTACAAAAGGGGAGGGGGGAGAAGGCATAAGACTGCTGTAACATGACATAAAGGACAATCAGAGCAGTTACTGGCTTCAATACTTGAGACAGCAAGCCATGATTTCCTGAGTAAAGTATTTGATGTTCCAGGCAGGAATATGCAGCGAACACACCCTAGACCAAGTATCCTGTAGGCAGTTACTCCCTATTTTAAAAGAAGGAGCACAGGAATATGCTTGAATTCTCTGGTCACGGTGAAGAGGATCCACCTCTAAGGGCCATCTTAATGTCCAAAACACCAAGTCACCCAACCCTAGGCCAAAATCTCTCGTTTTGTAGCAACACCTGTTTCCAAGGACTTTAAAAGAGCAAAAATAAGCTCAAACTCTCTGACCATCAGACAAGCAGGTACAGGCTCCCATCTGTGTGTGTCCCGACTATCTGAAACATGTATTTACCAGTTTGTTTTTTTTTCTCTCTCCCACAGCTAAGTAGCTAAGATCTCTAGTAGCTGGGTGCTTCAGATCAGGTGAGCAATCAGCTCTGCCTTCATTAGGTCTCATGCACTCTTGCCTTTTTTTTTTTCAAGAACTGAATGTACTTCATTTGCAAAGTAGATTTTCCCAAAAGATGCAGCCCTGATGTGATCCGGCAAACAACTTTATTTTAATACACTGGAGAAATTTGCTGTTTTCCGAAAATATCAAGAAGCTTTTCACGTACATTAGCTCAACAAGTAAGATCTAATTCTTTTTTAATTTTATTGATTTTTTTTATTAAGCTCTACATTTTTCTCTGCTCCCCTCTCTCCCTCTCTCCTCCCCTTCAACCCTCTTCCAAGGTCCCCATGCTCCCAATTTACTCAGGAGAACTTGTCTTTTTCTATTTTCCATGTAGATTAGAAGATTTAATTCTTTAAGGAGTGAACACCATGTGCTATTCCATGCTCAGTCATTGGCCCAAGGTAGCAAGGAGTCCTGCATGTAGGTCAAGATGCCCATTTTATTTATATGGACATTGAAGCCCTCCCAAGTCATAGAAAGAGAGCCAGAACCCTAGAGCAGCTCTTACCATGCACAGGCACTTTCACAATCATGCTAGCTGACAAGGGACATTTCATTCGGGACTACTCTAATAGGGAAGAATACAATAAAGAGACGCCTGGGAAGAGAGAAGCCACAGTATGGGGCACAGGCCAAATGCTTATGCCTCCTCTGTTTGCTGATAAGCACTTAAACTATTACCCTGCACAGAGACTTCCGAGGTAACTTCTGGGTCCTCAGCAAAGACTGACCCAACCACTCAAGAAGGAGAGACACTGGAGACAGTTTGAGTCTCAAAGAGGAAAAAGAAGGACTTACAGTTTCACTTTCCTTGGTACACAAGAAAAGGGAAGTGAGCAGATGAAAGTCAGAAAGACTCCAACCATTTTGGTCATCACTGAGCTCTGCATCACAAGAGTGTGTTCAGAATGTGAAGGGTGCAGGATTCATCCTGAATATAAAGACAAAATCTAACAGTTCAGTGGAGAAGATACATGAACCAAATTTTAGTCAATGAATATTTCAGACCTAAGTGATTTAAATCATGCATAGTCACAGCCTCAAGCAACACAGCCATCAGAAATGCTACTGGAGTCTGAATAGAGTCACAGGAAGGAACCAAATCATCATGAGAAGACACTGACCATAAAGTAAAAGACTCAGCAAAATGAGTAAGTCTCTATTCCCCAAACCTACCTTCACACGGACCTTTTAAAACTCAGCCCTGTTTAGAATTTTAGCAATTAGTATAGCTTGTCATTCAAAATATATACATACTTTTATAGCTTTAAATGTACTAAATAGTCACAGATGGGTAGACGGTGTGTCAGCCACTGTGGTATGGTAGATGGTGTGCTAGCCACTGAGGGGAAGATGGTGTGGAGCCACTGAGGGGAAGACGATGTTCTAGCCACTGAGGGGAAGATGGTGGGCTGACCACTGAGGGGAAGACGATGTGCTAGCCACTGAGGGGAAGATGGTGTGCTAGCCACTGAGGGGAAGATGGT